ATATATATTACAGCATTCAAAAAATATTTTAATTCATCAAGGAAACATTAAGATTGCAGATTTTGGACTAGCAAAACAGATAGATGAAGCAATAATGACATCTAATTCAATTGTTCTTGGGATGCCTGCATATATAGACCCTTCAAGTCTAGGTGGCTCTAAATATAAATGCACTAAAAAATCTGATATTTACAGTTTTGGTATAATTCTCTGGGAAATTTCAAGTGGTAGTCCACCATTTCAATCTTTTAGTTCAAGAGATGCACTTTTTATTCATATATATGTTGGAAATAGAGAAGAACCTATTGAAGGGACACCACGACAATATGTTGAACTTTATCAAAAATGCTGGGATAAAGATCCTAATGTTCGTCCAGATACAAAAATGGTTTTTGAGATTTTAAGTAAAACAAAAGTTAATGATTTGGCAGAAAACATAGTATCTACTGAAAGTTTGCTATCAATTCAGCAAAATATTACAGATTCCTCAAATCAGCAAGATCATACAAAAATACATTCAGATTCTTTTGAAATTACATCATCATCACTTCATTTATCAGATACAATTGATAATCAGAATTCTTCTAAACAAGAAAATTCACTTTATTTACCTGATAAAATTAATTATTATAATGATGTTGATGATGATGATGTTGATAATGATGTTGATGATGTAATTAGTCAAAATATTTTAACACAAATTGATAAAATTAACATTGATGATCAAAATATTTCATCACAATTTGTTACTCAAGATACTTTAACACTAAATGATTCAATTAATTCAATTGATACAATTAATGATAATCAAAATAATCTAATAAAACATGATGATAATGATGATGATACACTTGAAAATAAAAGAAAAAAAGTATATAAATATATTAATGAAGGAAGTTATTTAAAGGCATTGGAACTTTATGAAGAAATTCTCGAGAATAAATAGCATAATGTTAAAGATAAGCATACTGCTTCAAACTAGTCTCTTTCTAATAAATATCTTAATTCCAAAGAAATAAATGAATTGATAAAGATTCTTTGTAAGAATATGATATTAATCTCTTTAAATCTTTCACAAAGTCATCTGAGTTCAGCAGGATTAAAAGCAATATCAGAAACCCTTTACAAAAATACCACACTAATATCTCTAAATCTTTTATGAAATAGCCTTAATTCAGAAGGTGCAATAGCATTAGTCAAAATTCTTTGTAAGAACTCTACCCTAACCAAATTAGATCTCGTTAATTGTAAAATTGGTTCTGAAGGAGGAATAGCGTTAGCAGAAGCACTTTATAAAAACACCACATTGAAATTCTTGGATCTTTCTTTTAATGAAATTGGATCAGAAGGAGGAACAAATTAGCAAAGGCACTCTATAAAAATACCTCTCTCTCTTCTTTAAATCTTGCTGGTAATCACCTTGGCCCTAAAGATGCAAAAGCATTTGCAGAAGCCATTCGCAAAACCACTGTATTGACTTTTTTAAATCTACAAAATAATCAAATTGGCCTTGAAATAAAACAAGCATTAGAAAAAGCGCTTATTAAAAATACTAGGCATTTAACTTTATTAAAATGAATTTTAAATGTGCAAAAAATTTTTGATTTATAAAATCATAATAAATTTAATTAATTTATAAGATTATTTCAAATTAATTTAATAAAACATATACAGCATACTTATACATTATTAAAGAATTTTCTATTTCTAAAATTGTTTCAATAAGTAGTTGTATTAATTTTTATAACTTTTTACAGTCGCTAATGCGCCGTATTTCAGATTTAACTTTTTGTAAAAAATTTGATGATTTTTGTAAAGCATCTATTTCTAACTTGTTTGATTACCCACTGTATTATGAGTTTGTAACAATTAAAATTTAATATATAATAGTACATTAGCAGCAGGCTAAGAGTATGTTTAACAAGTTGGATCTAAAAACTTGTCCCAACATGTTACCAAATCTCAAAGAATCTAAATTATGGCTTCTGGAATAGATTTTTCAGAAGAGGATGTTAAAAATGGAATCATTAATATTTAGCAAAATAATAAAAAAGAAACCTATATGGAGAACGTGTTGGTTATATTTAGCAGAATATTTCAAAATTTAAAAAAATTTATGTTATCATCAGTGTTAGTAATTTGATAAGTGATTATTATGTAATTGATTATCACATAATAAACTAGCCAATCATATTATTTAAAAAAATTCACAATACAAATCTACTATTGGACTACAAATAGGTTTTATTTAACCAGCTGACCAAACACCCCAC